ACAAAGACAAATAAAGTGTCAGAGTTCTAACTGATTAGGGCTAAAGAACACGGTCAATGGTCTCGACAATAAATTGATCAGATATATTGATACTAACGGGTTTAACTATACAGCAGCAAAAATCAAGAGAGAAGTAATGATCGCGGCGGTCTTTTAAGACCATAAATATCTGGTTTCTTGGCTCTGGACCCCACGTAAGGTAACGCTCTTTGCAATGAGCTGAATATACAGCGGGGATGCAGATACAGTTGGTTTCTTAAACAAGTTGCCTTTTGCAAGCAGACATGACCACTTATACGTGTGGCTGCTTGTTACTATGATATTATCACAAAAGGACAATTACTGCTGAACCGCGCTCCTTAGTGTGTGCGCTGACCTCGCTGCCGAAAGCTGGAAAACACAGCAGACAATCTGGTGGAGATTATGGTGGATGGGAGAGTTTGGAGGGAAACATTGTTACAGCGTAGATTTCTCCCATATAATTGAAAAACAACAATATCTACTTATGCTACAGGGAGGCGCAGAATTCAGATAACCTAACAATAAAATGTATCGTCCTCTTCACTGCTGGGGAAGGGGGGCAGTAGACGTTGGTGGGAGTGATGGTGCTTATAGTCTGCATGCACTGAATATTGATCCCTATATGGCAAACTTAGTGCTAAAGCTGTTGATGGCTGGCTGAGCGTAATGAGAAATACAGTTGAGAATAGAATGGAAGCCATATAGCATCCCCACCACGGGTCTGTGCCACCATAACTATCCATATTTAGTGAAAGAGGGAATCTGGGTAGCGGACGGTGGTATAAGAAGGATATTAAATATCAAGGTGGGTTATACATCCCAGACTTTGGGGAGAGTGCGGAGCTGCATTACTGCTAACAAGGTTAAACCATGCACCCCTCCTTACTAACCGCAGCTGTCTGCCTATTAGAACACTATTAGAGCTGGTTTTACTGCATGAATCCCTCGTTAAACAACTCGCGGTTATTTACTAAATATTGTGGAATGAAAGTAAATTTCGGTTTTAATTCAATGATATCTGAATTGGAATACCGTAATTCTCCAAGTTAGCCATGCTTTCCGTTCAGTTATTTGGTTTAAAAAGTTAAAATTCACATTGAATTCCCAGCGGTTATAACTTTACAAAGCTGAATGTCCTGCATTGTGAGATTGAAGGCTGAACGTGGAGAGCTGCGAATAATGGCTAATCTCGACGTCTAGTGCAAGCAGGGAGGCAGTAAATGGGTTAACACAGCAATTTCCGTAATAAAGTGGAAATATAAAAAGATTATTAAGGACATCAATAATGGGAAATGTGCGCTTTGTGACACCTGGGTCCCCATTAACTCGTTCTTTGTGTGACCACCCTGTGTGCATCCTTATCCAGGAATAAAATGCGGTTGTTTCACGGGAAGCGGATGCTGGAGCCTGTTTTTGTAAAAAGGTTAAGGCACTAAATTAACAATTTTGTGGCTTTGACAGAGTTAAATAAGGAAACAGAGCTGCAGGATAGGGATAGACACATAGGGATAGGGATAGACACAGAAAACTACATTACAATCATCACTAAAACCATCACAACCAGCACTACCATCACTACAACCACCACAACCAGCACTACAACCATCACAATCAGCACTACAAGCAACAATGACCTGTGACTAGCGCAGTGTGATTGGGGAGGAGTGCGCAGATCTTACTAATACAATGTATCAGGAATCACCTTACTAGAGAAAAGGAGACAAGTGAGACTAAACTGAGAGCGCTGCAGGTGGGACGTGACCTCTACTTTAAAAAGTTTTACACAGATAATGCCATCATTTCCAGGGAGAAGCTGCTGCACTAGTAGATTTGCAGATAATATCCATACCATAACTGCTTTCACTGTGTTAGTGACTGGGTCTGCGCACAGACTGCTCCACAACCAATTGTACATATGTGTGACGCGGCACGGCACTGCACGGCACGGGGGAGACCGCAACCAACTATCTGGAATATCCGCAAAGTGAAACCAGAATGTATAACACAAACATGGGAAGAAAACCAGATACCTGGAATAGCCTTCCAGTGGGAGCAGTAATAGTGATATAGAAAGGGTAGTAGATACCTGGAGTAGCCTTCCAGTGGGAGCAGTAACAGTGATATAGAAAGGGTAGTAGATACCTGGAATAGCCTTCCAGTGGGAGCAGTAACAGTGATATAGAAAGGGTAGTAGATACCTGGAATAGCCTTCCAGTGGGAGCAGTAACTGTGATATAGAAAGGGTAGTAGATACCTGGAATAGCCTTCCAGTGGGAGCAGTAATAGTGATATAGAAAGGGTAGTAGATACCTGGAATAGCCTTCCAGTGGGAGCAGTAACAGTGATATAGAAAGGGTAGTAGATAACTGGAATAGCCTTCCAGTGGGAGCAGTAACAGTGATATAGAAAGGGTAGTAGATACCTGGAATAGCCTTCCAGTGGGAGCAGTAACAGTGATATAGAAAGGGTAGTAGATACCTGGAATAGCCTTCCAGTGGGAGCAGTAACAGTGATATAGAAAGGGTAGTAGATACCTGGAATAGCCTTCCAGTGGGAGCAGTAACAGTGATATAGAGAGGGTAGTAGATACCTGGAATAGCCTTCCAGTGGGAGCAGTAACAGTGATATAGAAAGGGTAGTAGATACCTGGAATAGCCTTCCAGTGGGAGCAGTAACACTGATATAGAGAGGGTAGTAGATACCTGGAATAGCCTTCCAGTGGGAGCAGTAACAGTGATATAGAAAGGGTAGTAGATACCTGGAATAGCCTCCCAGTGGGAGCAGTAACAGTGATATAGAAAGGGTAGTAGATACCTGGAATAGCCTCCCAGTGGGAGCAGTAACAGTGATATAGAAAGGGTAGTAGATACCTGGAATAGCCCTCCAGTGGGAGCAGTAACAGTGATATAGAAAGGGTAGTAGATACCTGGAATAGCCTTCCAGTGGGAGCAGTAACAGTGATATAGAAAGGGTAGTAGATACCTGGAATAGCCTTCCAGTGGGAGCAGTAACAGTGATATAGAAAGGGTAGTAGATACCAGGACAGTAGCCATAGAAAGGGTAGCAGATACCTGGAATAGCCTTCCATTGGGAGCAGTAACAGTGATATAGAAAGGGTAGTAGATACCTGGAATAGCCTTCCAGTGGGAGCAGTAACAGTGATATAGAAAGGGTAGTAGATACCTGGAATAGCCTTCCAGTGGGAGCAGTAACAGTGATATAGAAAGGGTAGTAGATACCTGGAATAGCCTTCCAGTGGGAGCAGTAACAGTGATATAGAAAGGGTAGTAGATACCTGGAATAGCCTTCCAGTGGGAGCAGTAACAGTGATATAGAAAGGGTAGTAGATACCTGGAATAGCCTTCCAGTGGGAGCAGTAACAGTGATATAGAAAGGGTAGTAGATACCTGGAATAGCCTTCCAGTGGGAGCAGTAACAGTGATATAGAAAGGGTAGTAGATACCTGGAATAGCCTTCCAGTGGGAGCAGTAACAGTGATATAGAAAGGGTAGTAGATACCTGGAATAGCCTTCCAGTGGGAGCAGTAACAGTGATATAGAAAGGGTAGTAGATACCTGGAATAGCCTTCCAGTGGGAGCAGTAACAGTGATATAGAAAGGGTAGTAGATACCTGGAATAGCCTTCCAGTGGGAGCAGTAACAGTGATATAGAAAGGGTAGTAGATACCTGGAATAGCCTTCCAGTGGGAGCAGTAACAGTGATATAGAAAGGGTAGTAGATACCTGGAATAGCCTTCCAATGTAGCAGTAACAGTGATATAGAAAGGGTAGTAGATACCTGGAATAGCCTTCCAGTGGGAGCAGTAACAGTGATATAGAAAGGGTAGTAGATACCTGGAATAGCCTTCCAGTGGGAGCAGTAACAGTGATATAGAAGGGTAGTAGATACCTGGAATAGCCTTCCAGTGGGAGCAGTAACAGTGATATAGAAAGGGTAGTAGATACCTGGAATAGCCTTCCAGTGGGAGCAGTAACAGTGATATAGAAAGGGTAGTAGATACCTGGAATAGCCTTCCAGTGGGAGCAGTAACAGTGATATAGAAAGGGTAGTAGATACCTGGAATAGCCTTCCAGTGGGAGCAGTAACAGTGATATAGAAAGGGTAGTAGATACCTGGAATAGCCTTCCAGTGGGAGCAGTAACAGTGATATAGAAAGGGTAGTAGATACCTGGAATAGCCTTCCAGTGGGGGCAGTAACAGTGATATAAAAAGGGTAGTAGATACCTGGAATAGCCTTCCAGTGGGAGCAATAACAGTGATATAGAAAGGGTAGTAGATACCTGGAATAGCCTTCCAGTGGGAGCAGTAACAGTGATATAGAAAGGGCAGTAGATACCTGGAATAGCCTTCCAGTGGGAGCAATAACAGTGATATAGAAAGGGTAGTAGATACCTGGAATAGCCTTCCAGTGGGAGCAGTAACAGTGCCTAACAGTATCTGCTTTGAATGTGCATATTGCGAGTGTGAGATTTGATGTTTATTAGTTCAGACAGTAGCTGCTCTCTCAGCCTGGTGGTCCCGGCTGCCAATATAGATTTTATTTTTATACTCTGTTCTATTTAGATATTTTACGGATCTCTCCTGTTACGGCCGGCACTATGTACTAAGGTTGTGTCCAGGACTAATAGCAAGACCAGGTCTGTGACAGCCGTGATGACTTAAATGCAGCAGGAGCAAGTAGATGTATTTGTGGTCGCAGGAGCTTTCAATCTAAATGCCTGTGTGGATTGCTGGCGATATTCCATTAGAAATGTGAGTGCCTGGGTCTATGGGATGAACCCAGATCTATCCCCATAGAGAACAGTTAACAATACACTGCCAGGCAGAACAAAAGGGAAGCAGCCGTCCAATCACAGGCCAAAGATGCATTTTGACAGGATGTGATTGGCTGCTGGAGGCCCAATAGCTTGCGAGCATCTCCAGGCTGTCAAAGCCACGTGGGGCGGGATGATTAGAGCCTTGTATTTATTGGCTGCCATGTCCCCCCTTCTCCCCGCACTCCTCTCTGTATCTTACTCACACTCTCAGCTGCTCCCAGACTACAATTAACCCCAAGTGTGCCGGGCGGGTACAGAGAACCACGGATCATCATCACGGTTCATTAAAAAATACAAAGGGGGTGCCGTGTACATTATACAGCCCCATTCTACCCTGCGTTAACCCCTTCCCTGCCAGGAGGGCCGCGTTACAGCCGTTACAAAAAGGGCGAGACGGGAAAATAATGCTTTTAATCAGCAGCCCCCAGCTTACAGGAAACATATTAACCCCTGGATAATGGTAACATATCAGATGCAATCTATACATTGTAACCCTTATATGGAAGAAGGCTGTTTAATAAAATAAAATTAAAATAAATAAATACCTACCCGTAAAAAACAAATGGAAAGACTCATTCTCGTCAACGGCACCTTCGTCTTGACAATTTAACACCCTGAAACAGTTAATACACATTAAACACTATATACGTGGGGTATTAAAAAAAAATATATATATAAATGTTTATTGTTCATATACGTAAACTACATTATATTATACAAACTAAAAACACACACATTATATACGTATTCACTAAATGTTTATATACAACGCTTAAATAGATGCCAATAAATTATTTAATACAATCGCAAGTTAAATACAGATATCTGTGCATTGGCATTAAACATTCATAGAAATATAGAACATAACAAATATTTGCTGTTAGCATGTCAAAGGCACACATTATACAACACGCAGACGTACATGATCTGTGGATTTAAATGAACAGATTGTATTAAATTGTTATTATACAGCTATTTCTAGTTTCAGGTACTCATGAGGTCAATGAATGTAAGACAGACACCCTGGAATGCAGGAGGTTATTATAGGGTGGACAGGGGCTGAAACGTGTACTTGCAACCACTGCATTTTTATTTTGTTTTTTTTTGTCAGTAGGTCTTTTCCAACACTGTGAGGAGCCTAGCGATTCACCCGGTTCCCCTAGTTGACCCGAAAATGCTAAGGAGAGAGCTCTCGTTTAATAATACGTTGGCAATCATTTAATTTATAATCACGCACGTCGTCGCTCACTCTGCGCAGGGTATTGGGGGCACATTTAACTCTTCAGCTACGGATCCCAAAGCTGCATCAACCCTAACTAAAGGGGGGAGGGGGGGACTAAGAGTTCAGAAGAATTTAGAATTCTGTCTCGTGTTTTAACCTTTAATCGCAGTTGTTCACTAAACTGGAAATTGTGGGAAACTAACCCGGGAATTGCAAATTATAAACGAACGTATCTCAGCTGGTAAACTGGGTGAGTTGGAGAATTTTTCTAAACTGGCAAGTTTAGTTTATTTGCAGCAAAGTTTGGTTTAGAGAATAAATCACATGGATACCAAGTTATTGGGGAGTGATTGATAAATGTTTATTTTTTTAATGATTTTGATGAAGTGAACCCTCGGAGTGCAAAGCAATGAAATTAATATTTTTCTGGAGAACGAACTCCTAAAAGAACCAAAAAAACTGTCTTCCAGCCCCCTAATTACTACACAGCCCCCGGGATGGATACACGTCTGACCTCACCTAAATGTCAGCATCGGGGTCACCTGCATCGCAAGCTGCCAGCTCTCCTACAATGTCACCCCTCAGATATTGCTGCCATATGGAGTGTGTCTGCAGAGATTGACCACTAGGCCAGCCCAGCGCCGACATTTTCATAGGCCGCCCGCAGGTGGAGAAAATTCAGAGAATAAATAAACATTCCAAAAAAAAGGACAATATCCCCTGTTATTTTCCTCGGCTGATGTCGCATATTATTTTCCTCAGGCCGATGTCGAATGTTATTTTCCTCGGCAAATGTCACATGTTATTTTATACGCCTGTTATCTTACTCGCCCGATGTCGAATGTTATTTTACTTGGCCGATGTCGAATGTTATTTTCCTCGGCCGATGTCGAATGTTATTTTCCTCGGCAAATGTCACATGTTATTTCATACGCCTGTTATCTTACTCGCCCGATGTCGAATGTTATTTTACTCGCCCGATGTCGAATGTTATTTTACTCGGCCGATGTCGAATGTTATTTTACTCGGCCGATGTCAAATGTTACTTTACTCGGCCGATGTCGCATGTTATTTTACTCTCCCGATGTCGAATGTTATATTACTTGCCCGATGTCGAATGTTATTTTACTCACCTGTTATCTTAATCGCCAGATGTCGAATGTTATTTTACCTGCCCGATGTCGCATGTTATTTTACTCGGCGGATGTCGCATGTTATTCTACTCGGCCGATGTCGCATGTTATTTTCCTCGCCCGATGTCGAATGTTATTTTCCTCAGCCGATGCCGAATGTTATTTACATGTCCTTTTATAAAGTGATTCATGTTGGACGTGTTAATGACATTAGCAGGCTGGCGGTCAGACCTGCCGCACGCAGGTATCAGCACATAGACAGGAACCGGGGAGAGACTTATTTCACACAACAGTCCAAGAAACCTTGCCCTGTTCATATCATCTGGACTTTTAGTTCAGGGGCTCTGTACATGTGAGGAGGAGACATGGAAGGATTGGGGAGCTCCGTACGTATGAGGAGACATGGGAGGTTTGGGGGCTCTGTACGTGTGAGGAGGAGACTTGGGAGGTTTGGAGACATGGGAGGTTTGGGGAGCTCTGTACGTGTGAGGAGGTGACCTGGGAGGTTTGGGGAGCTCTGTACGTGTGAGGAGGAGATCTGGAAGGTTTGGTGAGCTCTGTACGTGTAAGGAGGAGACATGGGAGGTTTGGTGAGCTCTGTACGTGTGAGGAGGAGACATGGGAGGTTTGGGGAGCTCTGTACGTGTGAGGAGAAGACCTGGAAGGTTTGGGGAGCTCTGTACGTGTGAGGAGAAGACATGGGAGGTTTGGGGAGCTCTGTACATGTGAGGAGGAGACCTGGGAGGTTTGGGGAGCTTTGTACGTGTGAGGAGGAGACCTGGAAGGTTTGGGGAGCTCTGTACGTGTGAGGAGAAGACCTTGAAGGTTTGGGGGGCTCTGTACATGTGAGGAGGAGACCTGGGAGGTTTGGGGAGCTCTGTACGTGTGAGTAGGAGACCTGGAAGGTTTGGTGAGCTCTGTACATGTGAGGAGACCTGGAAGGTTTGGGGAGCTCTGTACATGTGAGAAGACCTGGGAGGTTTGGGGAGCTATGTACATGTGAGGAGGAGACATGGGAGGTATGGGGAGCTCTGTACATGCGAGGAGGAGACCTGGAGGGTTTGGGGAGCAGGGAGATTTGTACATATGAAGGATAACCTTGAGGTTTCTGGAGCTCTGTATAAGAAGTGAAGGAAATCATTTGAAGTTTAAGGAGCTCTGTACAAGTGACGGAAAGCCTTGAGGTCTAGGGAGCTCTGTCGTTTGCTATAGCGAGTTGTAATGTCACACAGAGGACAAGCTAGTGCTGGACGTGTTAATGACATGTCCTTTTATAAAGTGATTCATGTTGGACCGAAGAGGGGGGCGGAGAAGGGGGGGCGGGAATGGAGGCACAGGACTAGTGTACAAGGTAGGGAGGAAAAGGAAACAGATTGCAGGAGTGATACGGTTTCTCCGGAATAAAGCGAAGCATCCTGTCATCGTGATATACACCCGCACAGCTGCACCTACCCTACCCATCATCAGACTGTCAGCTCTGTGGGGCAGGATTCCTCAGATGACTTGCTGAAAATGCAGCGGGAATGCGGTGACTTCTGATGTAACCGGGGGCTTTCATAAACACTTTATCCTAATGTTTTCCTGTCATTTTCCCTTTGTTGTTTGACTGTACAGACATTTCTAGGGCTCTGACAGCTGTGGTGTTGGAATGAAATTCTCCATAGCGAGGAGCTTGTAATTCGGATCTCCCCAGCCCTCCTCAATAAATCTCTCAGTAGTCTTATCTTACCTGCTGCTGTGCACAAATAGCCGCCTGTAACGTCACACAGGAGCTCCAGTCTATCTTTGGGGCACTCTGGCTCCATACGTTTTCAATCCATCAGAAAACAAAAAACAAGAAAAGTGAATCTGCAGGTGAGAAAAACAGGACTTTTAGAAAACCTAGGACTGCAGGCATGTAAAACAACTGGGAGGGAAAAACTTTGATTGTAATCAACGCAGGGCAAAATCGCAGGGCAACAGCCACCAGTGTATACATGCATTGCCATGGTAGCCAAATTAAATCTCAATATTGCCAAGCATTGTGGGAACGGAGAGATCTGACAATCACCTGATAAATCGGCACGTTCAAATCATACAAATTATGGACTGAATTCTGCCCCTACAGGAATTTTAGATGTGAACGCTACTCGGCTGAGCATTGTAAGTTATTAAAGTAAAAGATCGACTGGCTGGAGATCTACTACATGACGGTCAGCGGCAAAGCACAGGGTAGTGTTGTTTAATTCCACAGAGTATCGGTTCTACTTTAAGTCTCTGATCATCCGTTTGATTCACAAAAAAATGTACTTAAAAGCAGTTTTGGTGTGTAGAACATGCCCCTGCAGTCTGACTGCTCAATTCTCTGCCGTTTAGGAGTTAAATCCCTTTGTTTATACAGCTCTAGTCACACCTCCCTGCATGTGACTTACACAGTCTTCCTAAACACTTCCTGTAAAGATTCATCTAATATTTACACTTCCTTTATTGCAAATTCTGTTTAATTTATCATTTCTTATCTCCTGCTCTGCTAATAGCTTGCTAGACCCTCTATAGGAGCCTCCTATATGTAATTAAAGTTCAATTTACAGAGCAGGAGATACAAACTTCTAAAGCAGTCAGTCGCAGCAAGGAGAGGTGTGGCTAGGGCTGCATAAAACAGAAACAAAATGGCAGATAATTGCGCATAATCTATGCATAAAAACTGCTTCATTAGTCTAAAGTTGTTTTGGTGACTATAGTGTCCCATTAAGTTTCCAAAATGCATTGGCAGTTTCATTAGCACGACTCAGATCACATACTCTAGCATTGGGCAACCTTCAGCACTCCAGATGCCGTGGACTACATCTCTCCTGATGCTTTGCTAGCATTATGGCTGTTAGAGGATTATGGCAGTGCAAAGGGTGCCCACCACTGCTGGAGACGAACACGTATAAGGTCAGAGAGCCTGGAACAGTCAGTTGTATGAGGGTGTCTTATTCTGTCCAAGTAGGAAAACTCTGTGTAGCAAAGTTGGGGAGTGAGTCCCCCCAAATCAGAACACCTTTCCAACAGTAACACGCATAGTAACAAGACACACGTAACACACATAGCAACACAGGCTACAGACACGTCTCATCTGCTTTTAAAGGGACCAATACCATTGGAGGCATGTGGAGAAACCTACCTATTTCAGAACTAACCAACTGAACTGGAGGAAGCTCCACACGTGAGCACCAAGAATCTAGGAACCAGAGATTGAAAGCAGTGCTCCTAAAATGTGACAGATACACAAACCATGTAGGTTATTAACTTTACAACCATTCCTTCTATTCTTAAATGATCTCAGTGGCCAATTATTAAACCTGCGGCTTTCTCTATTGAAGACACTTTCTACTTCTGTTTTCAGTTTCAGACATGTTTTAATATCTACCCCCCTACTTAATTTGATACATGCCGGAGGACGCGATGCCACACTGACCGAATCACAACATTAACCCAGCACAAGATCAGTGGCGAATACACAGACACAATCAATTAACCTCCAAACAGCTACAATAACCACCTTGAACTCCCACATTTGGTCCAAGGGACATAAACTCTCCAGAAGATTTAGCCTGGCCTGGCACAGCTCCAGATGTTTGGACTGGGAAGCAGGAGGTAATGTTTCCTGGAAAATGTATGAGTTTGGAGGGCAGAGGAGAGTGAAGAGGGGCCTGTCTGTGACTGTAACCTTACCAAGAAGGTACCAAATGTCTCCTCCGTAATTCTCCAGAGAAAGTTCTGTGCCAAACGGGAACACAAATAGATATATTGTGCACTGGAATGAGACAGAACCATCTGAACGGGCCAACTGTTAAACTGCAGGTCAAGCTTCACAGTGTGTTTTAAAAGATGCCAGGTTTAGTCGGCATAAAACGACTGCTTCCTGATCTGCAGATCCCGTACTGGATCCAGGAGGAAGATCTTGAGCAGTACCATGGAGGTTCCCACACTCTCACAAGAGAGGACGGGCACTGGGGGGGTTAACAATGGGAGCTGAGAAAAAGGAAAAGGGAACAAGAGACAGGTAATGTAACAGAACATGTCAGAAAGCGGTGGAGAGACACCAGATAGAGTTTGTCACTAAAACAGGTTTCTTTGAAGGAACAAGATCTGTAATTAGAACAAATGTCAAATAATTGGTAACTGTGTCTAGTTTGTAAATAGGTGGTGGTGGTGGTGGGGGGGAGCACACTAACTTTAAATTTTTTCTGTTTGCTGTACCAGACCTAACATCCTATCGGAGAGTAAAACCTCCACCGGGAATTTTAATCCTTTATATTATTGGTCCCAACAAAGCTATAGAAAACCCGTCCCATTTGGCTGTAAACTGTTCCCTCCATCAAATTTAGAAAATGGCATTTACTCATATCCAACTCGGCGCGGAATCTGAAAACAAAGGGTTGAGATTTAAACTCTCACTTCCTAATTCTCCCCTCTGTCAGCAGCCAGCTCTGCTCTCGGTATTTGAGATGTTGCTCCTGTGCAGAATGGGTGGTCACAAAAGTATTAATATTTATTTTATTTTAGCCGCTAAAGATGCAAAAACATCAACTTTACAAATTCCGACTTAAGAGATGGAGCAATGCCACCAAGGATTAAACTAGGCCATTTATAATTGATCTGGGCCTCTCGAACCCTCGCCAAACTGGGTAGAGGTGCTAATTCATATTTCCATTAAAGTGTGCTGAATATTCAGGCTTTCTACACAATCCTCCAGCGGACTGTGATGGATAGCACTTTAGCACTCAATAATATTTCGTTATTATTCTATTTTATTTATAAAGTGTCTGTACGGCTGGTTGTCATTAGCAATATGCAGTTTGTGTGTTTCGTCTCCACAATCCCAAATTACTTTCTTGGTGACGTACAGCCAAGGCTAACATGCCATTTCTTAACAGGGAACTTATTGACCTAAAACACTTACTTGATGTTGTCCCCATGAATGCACACTTCACAATTTTTTAATCTTTTCACCCCAGCGTTCAATAAATGCTCGAGGAAGGAGCCGATCCAGCATGGAGAAAAATCTTAGAAGTCACTCGGAGCGAATTCTATCCAAAACTTCCACCCCTGAATGGATAGAGATAAGCTATAAGCTCTTTGATCCAGACGTGTCAAGGAACTGTACTTTATTTCGTTATACGGACACTCGCTACAGACTTCAAACCCGCTAGCTTACAGAAAAATGGCCTAACGAAGTCCAAGAGGTCCCACCAGAGTCTGCTACTGCCTCAGTTTATCTTCTTGAGATGTTCTAAATGTCTCCAACAGACACAAGAATTTACTTAGTAGTGATAAACTAAAGGTCTATTGGTATATTTTTGGACCTGACTTTAAAATTTGCTTTAAAACAGGCTTTATTATACATTACTGCTCTGGAAATTCCCAAATGGTGACTTTCATAGTCACGTTTCTCCTAACAAACTGATTGATCCGGGATATGAAAAAAATAAAGCCAAACTGAAGGGGGTTATTCACCAAATGTTAAACTGTGGTGATTTTGAAAAATAAATAATTAGAAAGAAAAATAGTTGTAGCATTTATTTTAGCCCAGTTTTCACAATCTGATGTTCAATTCACTAGAATTATTTTTTTTGTGAAGAAGCCCCAAAACACGCGGTAAGTACGTTTCAGAATAAGGAATTCTATAGTACGAGACCCATTGAATATAAACTTTTCAAATCCAGTAGGTAAACACATTGGTCAGCTGGTCAGTGCAACTTATCGGAGGGTAGTGCGGTAATGTTCTTAATGTTCTATGCCATTTCTCCATTGGGATCCGCAGATAAATGTTCCCTTTAAAAGTTCTACATCTATATAAACATAATAAAAAGTTCTACATAATATAAACATTTAATCTTCCCTCTAACCCTAGCCAGGACAAATTATTCATAGACTGGGCTACCATTATTCTATTGAAAATCATGTCCTTACTTACAAAGCAGGTTCACTTATAAGTGGAGATACGGGTTAACAGGGTCACTTGTTAGTACTGCCAATGACCAAGTACCACCAGATGGCACCAACAACACTGTCTGCTCTATGCAGGACTTAGACACCAGGAGGACTTTTGAGATCCTCATCATAGAATGTGACGGCAGATAAGAACCATTCGGCCCATCTAGTCTGCCCAATTTTCTAAATACTTTCATTAGTCCCTGGCCTTATCTTATAGCTAGGATAGCCTTATGCCTATCCCACGCATGATTAATAAGGTTACTTGTCAGTACTGCCTATGACCAAGTACCACAAGAGGGCACCAACTAAACTTTCTGTTCTATGGAGGACTTAGACATCAGCCATATCATCGTTACTGTGCCATCGAGGTCTTGTTGGTGCCATACTGCGGTGGGAGCTCGGTAAGTAAATCATCTGCTGTCAATGTACCAACTATGGTAACTTACCTGCCACCAATTATCAGCCGATAAACCATCATTCTGGGTCACAGAGCTCCAAAACCTCCCTGAAGTTCTTATTCATTTAAATTTCCAATGCACACCTTAATTCCAATAACCAATAATTCATCGTACAAACTGCTCCTGTAAGTCAATCGTGTTTTGTTACAATTTAGTGTCTGTTTTGTTTGCCGATTGTATAGCACTGTGGAAAATGTTGGCGCTATATAAATAATTGTAGTTTGCCCTGTGTGTGACGCTTACAGACTGCAGGGCACATGCGTCACGTGAAGGTGGCAGAGGTGAGGGCAAGGGGATTTGGGGGAAATACAGGTTTGTATATATTTTTGTTTGTTTGTCTTGATTGTACTTGTTTTACTTATCATTCACATTCTTCCACAGTTCCATACAATGGTTTAATGAGACATACATTAAAATAAACAACATAATGTTGTCATAAAGGAAGGAAGAGGTAGCGAGGGGTCTGCTCAAAACAAGCTTACAATTATTTATTTTAAAAAGGGGGGTTAACTCAAGGCTGGAGGGTAACCGGGTCGGATCACGATCAACACAAAGCGTGCGTCTTGTGGTTACCTCCCTATTCAGGTATCGTTTTTCAGTTTCTGCTCTCTTACCCCAAGTCCTCTCTTTTTTTCTCATCTGTCTCTTGCTACGGGAAGTCAATGACCAACAGGGTCTTAACTATTCAATATGTGAAGGGAGCAATTCTCATGCAGCTTTCTGTTGCCCATCTCCACCACTTGCTAGTTTTAGAAGTTTAGGCATGTTAGCACATGCATGGGATATTAATTCCTGGGCTTTTAGTGTGAGATAGTGAACCATTTTCAACTCCAAAGTCAAAGGCAGAGGTTTGTATCCCTAGACCCCTGTAGTTCCAGACTGAGATGTAACAAGATATCTAGGCTTCTTTGGGACGAGGTGAAGATAAGGCGGTCATCAATGGTACAGGTCTTTTTCACACAATAGAAGCACCGCCTGGCTTCTTATTGTGCAATAAGGTACTTATAAATCCTCAATATACGCTACCTCTGCCCTCCACCACTCCTCCCGAGAGGTTATTTAAGATGTTGCAGACATTTTAGTCCTTCCTTTTAGTTGACCTTAACCCATAGTCCTCCTAGCTGTTAATAGATTTAGCGCAGATGATAGAAGTTAAATGCAGAAAATGAGCAAACGTGCCAGGAACATATCAAGATTATTTCATAGACTGGCTAAAAAAACCTGAAAACGGTTTCCATTTAGCAGGATAGTCCCAGATGAATCACTGTATGCTCTTCAATACGTGTATATCTAATAATAATGGATTAGAGAAAGCCAATGGGTTAATTAATCCACAAACTTACTGCATATCGTTTAACTCCGTAAGCTCAAGTCTGTTCTTTGTTCCCCTTACGAGATGAATTTGCATGGTACAGGGAAGGTATGTCTGCTTTATTGGGATTTAAATAAAAAGTTAAATCTAGACAAAGAGGAAAAGAAACAACTGCCCCATGTATTGCTGGCTGGTTGTCTCGAGCCCCTGAGCCACCTCTGTCGACAGGTGGCTGTCTCGAGACCCTGAGCCACCTCAGTCGACAGGTGGCTGTCTTGAGCCCCTGAGCCAATCTCTGGAATTTGGGTGCTTCTATATTTGAAATGCTGACTTCAGCAGTTGGGAGACTCTTTTTGTCACGACCTACCCATCAGCGTCACAATCGCTCTCATTTTACATATCATCGAACTCTCAATCCCCTGTACTGGGGCTGAAAAGGCTACTTACAAATCAGGAGCACAAGGAGAAAACTTATTTGCCAAACAACTTACCGAGAAGAAACGAGAACGGTGGAACAGCTTACCGAGATGACACCATAAGAATTTAAAAAGATGGCGTGGGAATGTTACAGAAATCCTACAGCTAAACAATGGCTCCCAGAAAGTCATGGCATTATGTACAGATATATTTTTTAAGCTAAAAGAAAAACATTGCAGGATGCGAAGGACAGGCAGAAAGGATGGGCTTATTGAGCAAAACTAATTATAATTTAAAAATAATGACTAACTGGGCATGGATTGTCCCTCATAGTAGATAGCATGACCCACCAGTGAGCGTGTCACGTATCAAAATGACAAAGCCAAACATGTTTTTCAGGGTAACCACTAAGACTAAAACATTATGTAAACCCAGTAGCCAATATAGGAGATGGTTTTTTCTCTACAGAAAGATGTGTTATTAAGCAATCAAATGCTTTGATTACATAGATGTATCTTAAGGCAGAGGAAACGAAAATAGAAAATAATTTTTAAAAAAAAGTCTTCTTGGCAATTTGGCACAAACAAGACAACAGCAACTTAATATTTTTACAGTCTGCTTTTCATCGTTTAACGTCTCATTTACATTATTCCCCAAAATACAAGTAAAAGTTTAGACTCCTGGGAGCCATTCATCTCCTGTTTAGGGATTAGAGACTACGAGTCACAGTCACAATAAGTTACCTCATTTTACCGAGCTTCTCTCTGGATACTAATGGAACCAAACTCTCGTGGTGTGGACTAGAAACAAGTCAGGAAAGTTAGAAAAATCAGACAGTGCTTCACAAAAAACCTTCAAAAGAGGCGTTAGGATGAAGGGCAAGCAAACATGAAATATTAACCAGAAAACAAGCCTAAAAATCACCCCTACCGAATTAATAAATAAAAATAAACCGCACGCTGTTATCTAGTAGAGAGAAGCTAACGTAACAAAGAAAGGAAGGAATGCAGCAAGTCCCCATCTCTCTGTTAGTGATGAAGTTGTGGAGTTTTCCTTTTTCCTAAAACTCTAGGTGTTTCGGGACTCGAGGTAGACCCCTGATCTGCACAAGAACTGTGTTGGGTGCTTCCTGAAACGGATTTTCATGGCCGAGAATATGTGCACAAGCATCTGTGGCGGACCGCCTGGCACTCTGACTGGGTACCTCTGCCAATCACGCTTCCTAGTATCACCAATTACCATAAGCACTGCACCGGACACCATAAGCACTGTAGCCCACATTAGCCGCCGTAGCTTGGCTGGGGTCTCACTGTCCCTTCCAACCCTGGACCAACACCTGGATCCAGCTCCCAGTGGGAAGACCTCTCCTCCAAGAGAGTATAGCAGTATAGCCAGTAAGAGAGCAGTATAGCTGTTCCCCCACACGAGCCGAGGATTAATGCTGGGATGTAATCCGTTATCTTCAAGGCCACACACACCGTCTTTTATGCAAACTCCATGCAACAGGTTTCCTACACATAACGACAGGATAATCCCTCCCCTGTACCTGAGATAATTGAGTCAGGAACTGTACAAACTCAATTATCTCCAGGCACAGAAAACACACATTTTACAGACACCCCAAAAGTACCCCCAAAACACGTGAAAAACCCACAAAAGTCACATCCCCTGATAGCCACAATCTGGGTGACTAACATAAAAAAAAATAAAACAAATCGGTTCAGGAATCCGGGTTTTCCATTTAAGTCATAATTGGACCGACCGCACATGAGGGTCTTGCCCAAAGTAGTTCCATGGGAAAAGTGGTAGCGGTCGGTCAAGTTCGGTAGTTTAAAAAACGAATATACTACCGAACGTAGTCAATAGTCATACCGTGGAGCTTGTTCCCCTCATCCAGACGAATGATTCCACCGAACAGTGCGCTTCCAGAATGTACTGAACTGAACGCAGGCCATTATGGAAGTTCAGCAGTGTTCAGGAGTTCGAGTGTCCGATTTCAGTTCCATGCACTTGACGACCAAACACAGCTGCCTGCGTTCGTGGGAACAAGATGGCCGCCACCACGTCTTCGGCCATATGAATGGCGGCCACCCAGACGAACACTTAGAACACTTCGAACACTGAATCATTACAAGGTGCTAGTAAGGGTTAACAAGCTCCCGGGTAGTCCTTAGTTCAGGAGTTGGTTTGGTTCCCGAACCAAATGAAAAATCCCACGAACCAAGTCTTTTCACATGGCTTTTACAGGGCCCATAGTCCTGGGGTAAGAGGCTGGCAAGCAGGCTCCTCCTGGAGCCCGTGGTGAGGTTACTTTCTCCACAGCAT